CGTAGAGTACATCCAGAAGTTACCGAAAAATCCGGTGTTCCCAATAGGTTTGAGACTTGCAAATTACATACTAAAAAGTCAAGGTGTTTTCACCTCTACCTCCTGCACGCTCTTGCAAGCACTCCTCCCCTCATGTCTTCATGACTGCGGTTACCTCCTTTTCCTGGCTTGCGCAGAGGAAATCCTGTTACGGCACAGTCGATCCACGGCACTGCTGCAAAAACCCACCTCTTAGCCTGCCGCTTCAGCTGCAATCTCCCCTCTTTGTCAGTCCTGCTGCTGCTCCCCCTTCTCCCCTGCATCGGACATGTCAGCCGCAGGCTTCACTTTCAAGCGTCCTCCAGAGTCATCCCGTACGTGATGTACCACTTCTCCCGCTTTACCAAGACATACCCCCTGGGCTTTGATCAGCCCGTGCTCTCAGCATCTTGTCTCCCTCAAGCTATCACCTTTGTATTTCCCTGAGCTTCTCTTGTGCTTACTTGTAGCTTCGTATAGGCACCTTGTCCATCATTTCATTAATTTCCTTGATATGTCCCAGCACATTCGCTTTCGCACTGATGCCTCCGGCGGCTGTCTGGTGAGATGCTGAGACAAGCCCTCGCCCGTGCTGCCACACATCCCCGTCACTGGAATTAGTCTCTCTCTGGATTTGAGCACAAGAGTGTCCTCTAAAGCTAGGACACCTGAGAGGCAATGTCGCACAGATCACTCTATCTACCACCAGCAGAAGCTCTCCTTCCAAAGTCTATTTTATTCTCACTTGCTCTTTTTGACATTTCAGGTGCAACCCTGCCCCCTTATGCTTACACATCACAGCGTGGTTCACTGCAACTCCCTTTGCAATAGCGGTGTATCTTTGCATAAGTTATTGCAGACTGTTTTGCAGAACAGTGACAATATGTAAATATTATGCACACAAATACAGCTATGATAATGCCACCGTCTCTTTGTCAAGGGAGGGCAGGCTGCCTGCGTTGGCAACATAAGGAATGGCGTGAGGATGGAGAGCTTTTCTGTTATATCGAGGGGAAAGAGAGAATCCATTGAGGGGAAAGAGGGAATCGAAGGAAAAAGCTGTTTTCTTGGTAAAGCAGGCTGAGGCACCTGAGTCGGGAAGCAGAGTTACAGCGAGCGGGGTTGCTGTGATAGCACATCTGTGCCTAAAATTCCCTTGACATTTAAGTTTGCAGTACGTAGTTGGTACTGAATCTGCTTTTTTGGGGAGAAAAAATTCTGAAACAAAATGATGCGTTAACAGAGGTTTCTGTGGAATCAAGTGTACAGTTTTCTGTCCTAGCTTTATATTGTGCCAGGATTTCTAAGGAGGTTAAAATGAAATCTGCTTGACGCTTTAGGGTTTGATAAAATACATTGAAGCCTGTGTGTCAGCTGAATTTTACTATAGGAAAGTATTTTCTTATTACTCTAGACTCTACTTACTGGGTCACAGCTTCATTAGTTAAGGACTAATAACCCCCTTGACTAGCAAAGTTAAGGGCCACTTACCATTCAGCAGAGCCCCTTGCTGAAGTCTGCAGGGAGAGCTCCCAAGACCTGCCGGAGTGATGTGCCCACAGAGGGTGGCTGCGCCCCACGGAGTATGAGAGAGAGACGGAGGCTCTCAGCTACGCTCGTGTGTGCAGCTGCGGGCAGGATGCTGTGCCATGGTGCTGGAGGGGACAATAGAGACCTTAAATCCATTTGCTTTCAGATTTAGCCACATTTTGTCCTAAACTGTCCTAAAATTGTATTCCTGGTAGGTATAGGGGGTGGTGCCTGATATTTCTGAGGGTTTTTTCCCCCTTTGCCTAGAGGGATGCTGAGGGTCTGAGCCCTGCAAGTTGTTAGCTTCACAAGGTGAGTGTGATGGAGAATGAAAGCAAGCTCTGATAACAAGGACTGCTTGCCCTGGGGCTTGGTATTTTATCTGGTAGGTTTTGCTCTGAGTAAATGACATGGAGGAGCTGGAGCAATGTCCCACGAGAAGTCCACGCGGTTTCAGGGAGAGCGAATGCAGTGCACAGCCCTCGGCTGCTCGTGCCATTTGGCCTCAAGCATGGAGCCCGGCGTCGGTCCCACTTGTGTCAAATACAAAAGGTGGTTACAGGGAGCCCACGTTAAGAGTCAGGCACGAGCTAACAAAGCTTAATTAACTTTTGTTTGTTCTGAGATTAACTGCATCACCACCACCCTGCAGGTGTTGGGTGGCACCTTCTCCCGAGAGGCTTATCAGTGTCGGTGGGATGCTCCACACAGCCACTTGCAGCCTTGGCAAGGAGGGGTGGCAGGAATGGGGTGATTCAACCATGAAAGGAGACAGCAAGACAGAAGCAGCTGAAATATTTTCATATACTTGTTCCACTGAGGGAAACGGGCTTTAACTGATTTTTTTTTTACTTTCCTTTCTTTTTGCCCTGTGAAAATTACATTTTTAATTAAGCAGCCATTCCACCCTACACTAAATTTTCTATTCAGACAAAACTTTCAAATTTGAGGTTGCAAGAAATCAAACAAGAAGTCATTCCACAAAACACAGAAATTAAGGAATCCTGATACCCACTGGTCCTTCCCTCTTCCCTGGCTAACCTTGCCCTGGACCTCCCTCCAGCCTCCTGTCTCCATGGGCACCCGCGGCCTGTTAATTTGGCAGTGACATCTTAGTGGCTGTGTTTGACTGTAGAAGTCAAATACCAAGGCCTAAAGCTATTAGGGAGAGCCAAATGGCTGTGTGAACCTTCGTGTCTCCTCTTCCCAATCATCTGCTGTCGTTAAAGTTTAGGAGCTCGCCTGTCTTTGAGGTTTCTGCCTGGGTTTGAATTTGTCTGAAAATGGCCAACAGGAACAAAAGTTATTCAGAGTGGGAATAAAGGGAATAAAGCTGGGACTGGACACTGAGAAATCAAATATGACCCATCACTATGGTCAATGAAGAGTGGGCTTTTGAGTTTCTTTCTTTTTTTTTCAGTAACCTGTAAGTTTTCACAGGAAACTTTCAACAAAGTTGGGAAATAAATACTTTTAGCAAACCGGCACAGGAAGGAGACTGATTTCCACACTGACCAGGTGTCCTTTGGGTGAGATTCAGCCTCACACTCCCGTGGGAAGGAGGACCAGGAGGGCCCCATTTGTCCAGCTGAGGTTCCAGATATGCAGTGATGAGACTCCTTTCCCCATTCACATCCCGAGAGATACAGGGAACAGATAGGGCCCTGCTCCCCGCATGCCTTATTGGCGATGGGAGTGAGTACAATGTTTGGGCCAAATCCTGTTGTGCCGGAACATGGTCAGCGTGAGCATCGGCTGTGGGCTAGTGCTGCAGTTAAGACTGTGAAAATAGCTCTGAAGGGCATTAGACTGGTGCAAAAAAGGATGAAGGACCGTGAGATGAAACTGTGTACGCCAAGGGGTCTCCTGTAGATAAGCTTCTTGACGTTCTGGTCCAGATATTTCTGTGTTCTTCAAAGGTAATTAAAAGCTCAGACCTCTCCATCTCACTGTGTATGCTTGCCATTTGAATATGAATGCACGCATTTAAAGAGCCTTGAGGATGTATTGTGTTTTGCACTGCATCTCTGGCGTGTTTAATCAGCTCAAGATTTGGTAGGCTCTGTTCCCTTCGCCTTACCAGGGATTGGGGTGTTGTATTGAATGAAGGGCTAGATGGGCAAGAGCAGTGCTCTGTGTATCTGGGGGGAGAGGGACTAAAGAAGATCCTGCAGAGACAAAAGAGAGCTGGGAAATAAGCAAACTCATTTATGTTTCGCTTGTTTGCAGGGAAAGAAACAAAAGGAAGAGAGAGGGTCTATGCTACGAGCAGACAAAACTGAGGGGCATAGGATCGAGCTCTGTTACGTGAGGCAGATTTGCCAGAGAAAAGGTACACGGGGGCTGTTGCATCCCCCTCGCCACCCTAGTACCACCACCTGCCTCAGCCTACGTGCTTCTGGGCAAGGTGACGGGGTGCATGCCCTCGCAATCCAGAGATTGTGCTGGGTCCATCCCGGGGGAGGCCAGCCTCGGGGTTCACCTGCAGCCTCCCACCTCTCCTGCTGCACAGGGAGGTGGTCAGGAAGCTGCCCAACTCCCTTGGGGTGGAACATTATTATAATCAATGCTATCAAAACATTTGGATTTCAACAATGCTGACTTTTAACAGCAGCACTAGATAATTTTCTTTATTGAACTTGCCCAGGCTTAAGCCATAAGTGATTCAGTGATTGAAGGGATGAAAGCGACACAACAATGCATTAACATTCATCCCCAGAGATCTGCTTCTCTAATGCAGTTCAAACCAAATGTGCTGAAAGGGTAGAGCTCTGAGATGTCTAATGATTGTGCAAGCGTCTTTTCTCTCCCAGAGGGCAGGATCTTTTTTTTGAAAGTGGCCCTACTTTTGCTTTAATCTGCATCGTCTGGGATTGTTTCTTCATATACAATCAAGTTAATTTGCTTTATAAAAGACAGTTTGGGGGCCATGTTTTAATTTTAGGTATGGAACGAATGTAGTACACACAAATCTGCTAGCTGTCCTTGTGCATATACAATATTCTGTTTGGGGATTTCAGGTAAGTGATACTAAAGTGCAGATTGTCTGAAATAAGGAGAATAAATAAATGATGTGTAATCCAGAAGGACCTGATCCTGGCAGGAGTCTTTGGGGGATAACGTGAAATAAACTGGAATGCAGATGCAGGGCTCCGGTGCTTAAAGCAGTGCCAAGGGCCAGCAGATTCTCTTGGTCCTGGAGCACTCTGCAAAAGAAGAAGAGAAAGGTGTTATCAAGACGTGGCTATAAAGCAGAGATCAAGAGATAAGCATGGTTTTTTATACTATACATGCAGCGCTGTAACTGGACAGTAGAAGGATGTGGCTAGCAGGAATAAAACACAAGCCAGGATTCCAGCCAGAATTTTCAGCACTTTTCCTCCCTGTTTTTTTATTCATGTAGTTATTACTAAACTCTTCAGCTTTTATTTGCTTTTTTATAGGGACTTTTCTCAGCATGCAGTCCCTTTAGATTTGGGCGTGATAACTAATCACATCCTGCGCATTGGACGTTTGGTCTGCATCCCCATATCTTCCTGCTTGTAAGTATGCTATTAATTCTCTTTGCTTGTTTTTCTCCTACTTTTAAGGAGCAGATTCAATTGACAGGCTCTGGGTCTGATCCCAGGTCATGATGTCTTTGCTTTACATTGATATAAATAACGCTATAATCTGCGTCTCCATGGGAAATATAAGTGATACAAGCATTTGATCCTATCTGAACTAACCTAGGTATCCTTATGGCTCTGAGAGTTTCCTTTTTCCAGCCCCCCACAAAGCCCCCCACAAAATATAACTTGATTTTAACCTGCAACCAAGCCATCTGGGCACTTGTCATCTTAGATTTTGAAAGTCATAAATTTAAATCATATTAAATCATAATAAAAAATGAAATTAGATCATAAATTAAAAGGAAGACTTTGCTTGTGGCAGGAAATAGTTTTTCCTTTTCCTTGTGTGCATTTTTTTATTGAGTCAGTTGGTGACTGATCCTGTTTGCCAGGCAGAGTGGTATAGGGATTCTCCGCTCCTGGAGGGTCCAGCTGTAACAGGAAAAAGAAGCATCCTACTGACTTGTGGCCTTTCAATTGCCAAAGGCTTATGCGCAAGAATAAGAAGTATTAAGGATCCTATTCTTGCTAAACTCCAAGAAAGCAGCCATTCTTTGCCTTTCCTACCTAATCTTTCTACATTTTCAATGGAATAAAATGTTGCTCACTTCTTTTCTGTCTGGAGCTACTAATTTAGTTGCATGATGTTAAATTGCCACATTTTTCCAGTTTAGAGCAAATTGCCTTTCAAGGCTGAAGGGTTCCCTGTATGTAAAGTTCATTCAGTCCTTTGATATGAGCATGCAAACGTATTTTTAATGGCATTAAAAGCTTTGCATTACATGTTGGCTGGAAGGACCATATGCAGTGATATAATGCTATATGCTAAAGGAAATAAATGTAGAAAATTAAGGCGGTGAGGGGGAAGATGAAAGAATTAAACCAGAAGCTCGCTGGCCTTTGTACATATATTGAATTAGTGAAGGTCAGGAGAAACCTTAATCTTTTTAATAGATCTACTGAAAACTTGTCTCCAGCTTTTGGAAGTAATCACTGTGATAAAAGGACTTGGGGGGTGACAGACCTTTAGGGATGAGGAGGTTTCATCCTGGAACTGGCATCACTGTATCGCCTGGGCTCTCTTCTGGGAACCTGCATGATCCTCCTCTGGCTCCTCCTGCCCTGATGCTGAATGAAGGAAGAGAGGTGGTTCTGGTTTGAGGTCATGAGGGGATGATATCATTATCTGCTCACTCCTGGCTTTAACTTTCCAAAAGGGCAAAAGAGAGCAGAGAACACACTTGTGAGTCCTTTCATAGAGATAATCAGTGTCATCTTTAATGAGCACCCTCTGCCTCCCCCCTCCTGCTCAAAACAAAGAGCAATTTTTGCACAGACCCAGATTTTTGCAACTCATCTCCCTTTCCTAGCCATTTCCTAGCCAGATTAATGGCCAGTAATTTCAGTGCCATCTAGGATCTGCTGACCACCAGATCCTCCCCGTCAGGGGATGGTCCCAAGTCATCCCTGGTGGGCCTGTTGCTCCACTACTGTGGGGGTGCTCTGCTTTGGCCCTCATCTCTGTGTCCTGCAGGACACATGTGTGTGCAACTGGATCTGCAGGAGGACAGTGTGTGTAGAGATAACAACGCCTGATGGCCAAAGCTCCTTCTTCCAGGATCCATGGACATATGACATGTGAAGAAAGTACTTTTCTGTCTTACTTTGCCATTGTAAACAGTGCCTTTCCTTTTCATTCACTGTGATAGGGTAATCAGACTACCATGTCTGAGAACAAAGTACCTTTCTTATAACTGTTCCCAGAGAAGAATGAAGGACAGGGATTTTGACCCAGTAACTTGAGGCTGTAGCACAAGAGGGCGATGTGGAAAACCACAGCTGGAGGATCCAATACCACTAGCGGTCAACTGTGGAGTGCGCAAAGAGGAAAAGGTGGCAAGAGGAACTACAGTTGTCATTAAAAACAAAAAAAGGCTCAAAATAGAAGCTGAACAAGAATACTTATTTGAAAGCACAGACTATAAGGCTGATGAATTCTAGCAAGGAGGGAAAGTCAGCGTTTCTCTCAACTGTCAGCTGACAAGCTAAACTGCTTACTATCTGAACCCTTTAGAAATGATATATTGTTGAGATGCCAGACGAATTACTTTAAGCTAATCTGACCAGCACTGCTTTCAGTGTGGCTGCTACATTTTCCAGAATGCAGTTTTTGAAGATGTTATTTAACTAATAAATAGCTAAGTAGTGAATTAAAATTGTTTACAAGACTTTCTTTTTTTTTTTTCAAAAAATAAAAAAAAAATTGTACCCTCTACACTAAGCTGGATGGGCGTGTTGATCTGCTTGAGAGTAGGAGGGCTCTACAGAGAGACCTGGACAGGCTGGATTAATGGGCTGTGGCCAATTGTATGAGGAATAACTAGGCCAAGTGCTGGGTCCTGCACTTGCATGACAACAACCGCATGCAACGCCACAGACTTGGGGATGAGTGGCTGGAGAGCTGCCCAGCAGAGAGGCATCTGGAGGTGCTGGTTGACAGCCAGCTGAATATGAGCTAGCAGTGTGCCCAGGTGGCCAAGAAGGCCAATGGCGTCCTGGCTTGTATCAGAAATAGTGTGGCCAGCAGGAGTAGGGAAGTCATCCTTCACCTTTACTTGCCACTGGTGAGGCTGCACCTCGAATGCTGCGTTCAGTTTTGGGCCCCTCACTACAAGAAAGACATTGAGGTACTGGAGCGTGTCCAGAGAAGGGCAATGAAGCTGGTGAAGGGTGTGGAGCACAAGCCTGATGAGCGGCTAAGGGAACCGGAGTTCTTCATCCTGGAGAAGAGGAGGCTGAGGGGAGACCTTATTGCCCTCTACAACTGCCTGAAAGGTGGCTGTAGCGAGGTGGGTGTTGGTCTCTTCTCCCAAGTAACAAGCAATAGGACAAGGGGGAATGGCCTCAAGTTGCGCCATGGGAGGTTTAGGTTGGACATTAGGAAAAATTTCTTCACTAAAAGTGTTGTCAAGCATTGGAACAGGCTGCCCAGAGAAGTGGTCGAGTCCCCATCCCTGGAGGTATTTTAAAGACAGATAGACAAGGTTCTTAGGACCATGGTTTAGTAGTGGACAGGTTGGACTTGATGATCTTAAAGGTCTTTTCCAACTAAATGATTCTCTGATTCTATGACATGCAAGCTTCTTTGGCCACCCTGACTGGGTGAGCGGGCAACTCCCTGCCCTCCACAAAGCCCTCCATTTTGAAGAAGACAGTAAAAATCTAATCCTTCTGTTGTGCTCATCCTCTGCCTTTCTGTATACATTGGGCTGAAACCAGCCAAAAGGATTTTTAGTTTTTAGGGAAGGCAGGCAGATAGAATTAACAGTGTATTGATGTCTGGTGGGATGAGGGACCTCACTGTTGTAACTATGGTAAAGGCAAATTAAGCTCTCCTCTGTTAGGAGTTGTTTGCAATAAGGGGTTTTTAGAATACCTTCTACCTGTAAAGAAAAAGTTGATGGAAGATTGTGAAAAAAACGTTAGTTTATGTAGCATAAAAATGCTGATTTTCTTTGATGTCAGTATGTCTCTCTGCTTAACCATTTTGAAGCCTGTGAGACAGCCAAGGTATTTCTCAGCTTGTAGTCAGAAAAAGCCAAGAAGAACCAAGTAAGCAAAGTGCTTATCTATGGCTGATAAACTCCCAAGAAAATGAATCCACCAGACTTATCGTTGGTTCCTGTTCCTCAATTTTTAGGGCCTTGGTGGTTGTGAGTATGCTCCATTAAATTATATTTCATTGAGCCTGGAGAAATAGAGTTGTTGCATCAAGATGTGCAGAGAAATACAATGCAGGCAACTGGATGGTAAAAGATTTATGGTATTGGGGCTATGAAAAAGCTCTCTGTTTACTGAATACCATCCTGGAGAGCGCTGCAGTCTCATTTAACATTCACCTTAGGCTGAACTGGGAGATGACTCCTGTCTCAGCTATGCTCAAGATTAAATTACATATGTTACATATAATTTGGCACCCCAGGCATACGCTAACTGATGAGGCCCCTGCTCCTGACCACATTTCCATTTTCTGAAAAAAATAGGCTTTATGACAGGTGCCATCAAAGAGGCAAACAGGTGATAGCTTTGGCATGGCTACCCAGGCATGATACTGCATGGTACCCAGGATTTACCTCTTGCATAGAGATGGCTTGCTTAATCCCTTACCTACCCAGTTTGTCCTGCTTTTGGTGAACACCAATTTGCCTATCTCCCAGTTACCATGGCATAAAAGAAAAGTGGAAAAACTCCAGCTGAGCATGCCTACAGCATCTACCAGGTAGCCCTACCCTTGGAATAAGAGTGGTTGTCCTCACCTGTGAAAGGTGATTTATACCAAGGACATGAATGGAGGAGCAATGCACAGCTGGAAGAAAATACTTAAATGGTGGATCTAGTTGGAAAGTAAGGATGTACAAATGACACCATGGGTCAAGCAGAGCCTTTCCTTGTGTGGCAGCCCTCATATTTGGGGACTAAAGTAGCAGACCAAGGTTTTGCGCTCTTGTACATCTAAAACCAGCAGAGCGCGGAGGTGAAGTCTGTGCCTTCTTGGTACAGGGAGTTGTTTTACTGAAATGCATGAATCTAAGCAGTTTGCCCATCGGAGCAGGAAGGCTGTGTAACAGTAATAGCAGTGGGAAAACTCAGCTGATGTTGGAAAGGCAGAGTATGACCTGGGATTTTCAGTGGTGGGGCTGGACTCGATGACTCAGGGAGCCTCCTCAAGCCATGCATCACCATCCTGGGATTGCAGAGGTGCCTCTGAGAAAGTAATCCAGACTCACCTACACCACACAATCTGAGTCCCTCAGCAGCCAAGTCCCAGTTCACCTGTCCCGGGAGCTTTCAGGACTCGTTATTCAGGGAGCCTTCTGTCAGAGCTCCTCTCCATCTCCAGTCGTTCAGCAATAGCACTTTCAATAACATCTTTGCCTTAAACCAAAACAGCTTTCCAACAATAGATGAGGCAAAAGTAGGGACCACTACAGAATTTGAAAACTTTAGTTCCTTAGTTGTATTTCCTGATGGGTTTATGGCTCTCAGAAAGATGACAGGTTTATTGCAGTCAGCCACTTCCATTTTTACTATTATACTTCGAAGTCGGTGAAAAAAATCCCAGTCATTTTTTTGGGGACCAGGTTTGGGCTTTATGTTTTGGTATTGTTCTATTTAGTTTTCAGAAACGCACAAACCCAATTACCAAACAAGAAGGGGAAGCTGTCATCTGGCTTTTTGGGGGATTGTGCCTTTGGGAGGATTAGGGTAAGAGAGACAAATGGTTATGCCACTTACCTTCTTTTCCCAGCAGTAGCAGGGACCTGAGCTGAAGCGGTAGCTGTGGTGCACTAAATAAAACTGCTTGTGGGTCCCCCTCTTGAAGGCTGGGAGGTCCGATTTGTGCCGTGGCAGAACTTCATGCAGCCTTAGGACTGTGCAGCTGTACATCAGTCCAGAAGAGTATTTCTGTGCTGGCCCACATCTCTGGCTGAGCCGGACTGGCTGCTCTCCATCAGGATTGCAATGCTGGAACAGCACCAGGGAACATCGTCAGGGATCAGCATCAGATCCATTTTATTTCCCTAGACTTTTTGTACCTTTCCTGTGAATACTACTCAGATGTCAGGACCAGATATGTTCACACTCCGTAGGATTTTGCTGCTTTACTCCAACAGGGTACAGATGGTTGGTAAAAATCCTTTTAGATTGAGTAGGACCTTACACTTTAGGTCCATGTTTCTAAATGTGTGATTAAAACAGCACAGATTTTTTTTTTCCCTCCTGAAATATTACCCAAAGAGCCACTTTAGCTGAAGCTGTGTTTTATGGTGAGATTCATTTACACATCACATTACTACACAGTGTGAGTGAGGCAACTAGGATCTGGGCCATAGTCATTTGGAATCAGAGTTTACAGTGCCTCTGATCTGACTACAAAATACTCAGTTAAAAATAGCCCAATTGACATCGTAAGACCTATAAAGGCTCTGATCTAGCAAAGCACTCACATCTCTGCTTAACTGTGAGGTGCTGATTAGTCCTATTTAAGACCATAAATTTTCCACTAACTTCAAAGTAGGTTCCCTGCCAAAGTTCTTCCTTGTACCAGGGCCAAAACTGTTAATGGTAAAAGTAGAACATAGTGGATTTCAAATTTGTGAAGAATTTAAAGGCTTTTAACTTCTGCCATGTTAAAGAATTTATGTGAAGTAATTCCTTAAGTTATTATAAAGAAATTCAATTAATAATGGATCTGCTTTTCATTATGGTGAGTAATCAAGGATAAACATCTTCTATATCAAAGCTCATCTGTTAAAAAGGATAAATTAGCTATAACACACTTAACTACTTCCAGAACATGAAATGAACACATATTGTTCCATTAGTTAATTTTGGATCACTAAATTACAGACAGTTCAAAAGGAGTATAATCTCATAAGGATCTCTTTTTGTTCAGTCTGTTGTGACTTACTTCACAAGGCCCAATGAACACTGTTGCTTGTGGGGCTAAATACTATTAGGGTTATAAAATGGCTTAGTTTAGTATATTTAAGCATTAGTATGAGTTATTTACCACAAGGGTAAGAATATTTTTATCTGGTATTTGCAGATGCAGTTTTGTACTCCTGCATATCTCGTAGGCTATCGGGATGCTTGATTAAGACTACCAAAAGCTCTGCAATAAAACAATAAATGCAATAAATAAACAGTAAAACAACATCTGGAATGTAACCTTTTATCCATGAAAACATGGATGTGTATGTACTGGTAAATTAATCCAGGCCAGGGCATAGGCCTGGCATCATCTCTCCCATTGAACGAGCAAGCACACCTCCTGGCATGCTTTTGGCCAGCTAGCACCTTCCGGGCAATGCCTGGACATATTTGGGGTTAGGGTTGGCCATCGTTCATTCCCGAAGGCAGCTGTGATTTGGCCATCCTGTCTGTGGGGATACAAGGGAGTTAAGCCCTCTTGATGCAGCATGCCACACAGGTTGTCCCTGAGACCAGAGAATAGCCTTGACCTGTTTTATGTAGCAGTATAGATGTAGTTCTGAGGTATAGAAAATAAAATAGGGTTTAAAAATGTAGAATTAGGTTCTACTTACTGCTTAATGTAGTCCTTGTTTACTCAGGCATTCAGGGCTTTTTACGGCAGATAGCATAACCTCCTAAATTTAGTTTACAGTGCAAAAGTGCAGTGGGTAACTCTGCAAATAAATTCAGTAACTGCAAAGGAAACGTCTTAGCATTTTCAGTGGGTGTCTCCAAGGCTTCTGTGTTCTCAGAGAAGAAACAGCACCAGCGGAAAAGTACCTTATCCTTAAGCACCTTTAGTTCAGGTTGGGGCTTCTGTGGTCACACCTAGTGTCAAAAAGTGTCAGCCTCTTGCAAAAAGAGGCGCTTTACTAAGGCAGCAGAGGTAGCATGATTAAAAAATTATAAGGCCCAACATTGCCGGGGTCAGTGCTGGAACACTTTCATGGAAACTCAGAGAGATACTTGGGCAGCTGTGTCACACACAGGGGAGACTCCAGACCATTGCATCATTACTTTAAGGGCCTGATTCTGTTCCTCTGGCTGATGCTGACAGTGTTTGCTCTTTCTGTCGCCATCAAAATCAGTGGGATTTTCCTCCAAGCCTCTAACTGTGAATTAGAGATAATTGTATTGAACTGGGACCACCGGACGAGGCCGAAAACAAGGTCAAGATGACAGGGACTACACTGGGAACGTGGTTCTGTATGGATATTGTCTTCCTAGCAGGAGGAATGCTCGATGCCTTTCCCTGTAGTGCCTGAGTATTTGCAGTAAGAGCTTGACTATGGATGGATGGATAGAAAGATTGCATGTGGATGACTATATGCAGAAAATTAACTTCATTTCCTACGCTCTTGGACCTTGCGTTATCTGTTTTGTATCACAATAAAGGCACTGGGTTACGCCATGTATTTCAGCTACAGCACGTCAACTTTGTACAAGCAACTCCCCATCACCAAGCCTTCTCTTACGCTTCCAGAGTGCTCCTGGGGACTGACTACATCAGTTTAAAGAAAAGCAGCCTAGCATCCCCTGGTCTGCTCGTCCTGTGCTACTCTGACCTTTGCCAGCACCCAGGCTCTCGGATTCCAACACAAAGTGGCTGGAGGCAAAGCTTTCTCAAAGATGGGATCTCTTCTTGTTAGCGTTCACTGCCCTTAGATAGTCCCCTCACGTTTGCTGAGCTGCCAGGGCTGCCTGCTCCCTTGGGACTGTGCTTGTAGGTGTCAGAAGCTTGCAGCACTTCACTGAAACGCGCTCGCCATTGAGATCCCCTTGGCAGCATTAGGGCAAGATGCGTTTTGGTCTTTGAAACAATTTGATCCATTGCATAAATACATAGTAAGAAAGCAGTTCTGGCAGTTTTTCTCATTCTGAGTACCTCTGGCAAGGCAGTATGGAGTACGTGGCTAACAGTAGTGGATGTGTCATCCAGTGCGGTGTTGAGAGGCCTTCCTCTAGGTTGGGGGGGGCTGAAGTCTTGAGAGGGATTTTTTGTTCCTTGACTAGCTTTTATCCACAAGACAAGTTTGGATTCTGGTATGTCTGTTCCATATAAAGTACATTTTTGATTGTGCCATTCCTCAGTTAAACAAGACATGGTGGGGAAGGGTCAATTTTAATTCGTTGATGGGTAGGATTTCTCCTAATCCCAGCATTTTGGAAAATAGAGATATAAAGATAGTTGTTAGCTAACCCTTTAACAATTGCAGCTTAGTGCTAAGAAATAATAACTTGTAACTCTGAAGAACTAGATTGTCTCAGGCTCACATTAAATCACATTATCTGCTAGTAAATTAATCTTGCTTTTTTTTTTCATTTCTTGCAGTTCTGAAGGATCCAATCTTACATTGTCCTGGGCTTGAGCAGTAAAGGATAAATTTGATCACTGGGTGACTTGTCATCTCTTCGTTGTGATGGAAAAATGGTCGCCTAAAATAAACCCTTTGTTATGCTGCTAAAACTGCCTTTGAATCCAAGATCTGTGGTGATTTTTAAAACACAAACCCAAAAATGTCAGAACCCGACCCTTCATCTGGATTTGTAGGAAACATGGAAAATGGGACTTTTCTGGAGCTGTATCCCACATCCCTTTCAACTTCAGTGGATTCATCGCCGGGCCGTTTATCCAATGTCTATGTCTATGTTTCGATATTCCTTAGTCTCTTAGCTTTTCTCCTTTTGCTATTGATCATTGCACTTCAGCGGCTGAAAAATATAATTTCTTCCAGTTCCTCCTACCCAGAATATAACAGTGATGCTGGAAGTTCTTTCACTAATTTAGAGGTTTGTAGTATTTCTTCCCAGCACTCTGCTCTCTCAAACCTTTCCTCATGAAACTAAATGAAAGGAAACACACGGGGAATGGAGGAGCTTTGTCTAGTTTCTTGGGGAGGTAGTGCATGCAACATTTGCCTTAGAAGACTATTATGAAGAGGTGGCTTTTAAAGTTTCCTTAGTTGTTTTTTTTTTTTTCTTTCCTTTTCTAGTCTTCATTTCCCCTTTTACTAATGTTCCTTTTCATTTTGGACAGTGGATAATGACACTTAATCATCGTTTCATGCCTGTAATAGTGATGCTGTCTTTTTCTCACATGTACACGGTGTTCATTAAGAGCATCCCTGCCAAATTGTAATATGGTTCTAACTGGATGTGTCATTTCTCTGCTCTAGTTGTGACCCCTTCCCTGGTTTTGTATCTGTAATATGCTGACTGCTTTTCTTTTTTTTTTAGTTAGATAAAAGACTTCTGGATGAAATCCCTATTGCAAAACTATCAAGAATCAGCTTAAATTATAAATTTAGTCCTTGGGACAATTGAAAGTTGTTTGTATAGTTTTTTTTTTTATTTTTCACGTCTTTTCTGGTATTTATTGATGTTCATAAAACACAACTAAAATCCATTTCTTGAAGAATGTTACTTCTGTTTATTTGTACTTGCAACTTGTTCTGTATAAAGTCTCTGTATTTCAGGTTTTGAATCTCTTTGGTTAACTTAGTAAAGTGACTCCAATAACGATGCTCACTGCTGAACGTGTGGAGGTATTTTTAGACCCCGTTCCATCTAATTTGCCTAGTGACTTGTTCCTCCAGGGGGCATCTTTTGCTACTGAATCCTATATATCACACAGTTCCTTTGCATCCTTCACTGGTGCATTGGGTCGAGCTGCGTAGTGCTGTGCTTTCTGTCGGTCAGTAGAAAGGTGTCGATAACGCACCAGGGCTGTGTCTCCAACATTCCACCACCACCACCAGTGGGCTGGGAGGGGGCAAGATCTTGGGAAGGGGCAGAGCCAACACACCTGACCCAAACCGACCAAAGGGATATTCCATACCATATGACATCGGCTCAGAGATAAAAACTAAGGGAAAAGGAGGAAGAAGCAGGGGGGCATTCGTCTTTTATGATGTTTTGTCTTCCAGAGCAAGCGCTATGTGTACTGAAGCCCTGCTTCCTGGGAAGTGGCTGCTAATGGGAAGTAGAGAATAAAATCTTGTTTTCCTTTTGCTACCGTGCACAGCCTTTGCTTTTTCTTTTATTAAACTGCCTCTATCTTG